CCCTGAGGGGGACCTCAGGCCTCGAAAATCCGACCGAGAGATTTCGCAAAAAACACTATCTGAAAATGTTCCTGGGCATGCCCAGACATCATTCCAATGCAAAAAAGCCGAGAATGTTTTGGGCCAGGAAAGGGCCCTAATGACCCACGTCCTTTCAGCAATCCACTCTCTCTCTCTCATATTTCTCTTTTACTAGAATAGCAGGGTAACTAGGATCAGTTGGCTTATTTATTCCATAACCGTATTCTAACGCACTATATATCTGTTCAGCCCGTCTCCTTTTACAGTGTTATGCAGCGGAAGTCTTCTGTTGGAATACTTAATTCATGATGAAGTTTCTTTGATTTTACTCATCTTTTTCAACAGGTATGTCTGTCGAGTAGCACTGGATGCTATGATGATCGAAGGGGAGTTGGGAGTGGAAAACGAGAAGAATGGAATCGTGCAATAGTGTGTTAGAATACTAGTATAGAGAGACTATTCCAAGTTATCCAGTAGCAGATGAGTACTGTTGACCAGTGCACTGTAAAAAATAAAGTCTGTAATGGCACACATAAAGTAAACGCAAAGTCGATTCCAAGTGACGATCTAGTAACTATCTGTGCTGAAAATGCCTCAGATTCATCAATCGATTGTTCAAATCTACCATATGACGATATTTTTCTTTCGCTGTTTTTTCTTATCCGTTTTTGCTGGAAACGACAACATATATACTTTCGATGATGGTGATCATGATTCTGAAATTATGTTTTCATTTGATGCACTAGTTCTGGAGAAAAATGGAAAATAAAAAATCTTTCTAGCACATCTAACTCTTTACATACCTAGATTGACCATCTAGAGAAGATAAGCACTTTTCGATGTCGAGTGAACGTTTAGAAGATTTACACACCTAGTAACGCACTTTATTTTTTACCGTTTGTAACTTATGCAGGTGATCCTGATATCTCAGACGACATGTTTTATAAATCGTAACGGAACGTAGTCTTAAAGTGATAGTCCTTGCCAAGAAAGCCAGCTATCGAATGCTATCACCCGCATTCCAGCAAAAGTTTTGTTGAGCGAGACAAAGCAAATATTCTCTACCCTATGGATAATTTTGTGCACATGTGTAAGGCGCCAGTGATTCAAACTTACAGTACTATTTCTTTCCCTAGTGATCGACTTTTACGAAAGAGTCTGACAGGAATCTGATAAGAAACTTATAAGAACCCGCTGCGACTAGTGTAAGAATCTTATTAGATTCTTATTGAATTCTTACATAAGAAGTCCACACGAAAATGATAAGAATTCGATAAAAAGCAGATAAGGATTAGTTGAGAATCCTCTAAGGATTGAACAAAAAAAGGGCAATAACTTCCAACATTTTTTTCTTCTTTAGTTAGCTGTATAGTTTATTGGTGAGTGTGCAACAGGTCGCGAGGCATTTTCAGAACGTTTAAAGAGTTTTTAGTTGAAACAGAAATCACTTGATAGAGCGCAATGCGCTGATTAAGACTATGGCCATTTTTGCCTTCCCACATCGGTTTTTACACACGATTTCATACAGAGAATTTCAAGAAAATAATAATGAGAGTGAAAAGTAAAAAGGACAAAAATCTAAGGCTGTTTTTCGTAAACGGAACTATTTTTGCTAATTTCGACACCTTCCTGGTATTTTGCACTTTCCTCCACGAAAACTCGGTCTGGGAAGGCAAAAACGATCATATTCTTGAACAGCACATTGCGTTCTATTCAGTGATGCGTGTTTCGACCGACAAAAAAGTAGTGCTGTAAGTTCGAATTACTGGCGTCTTATATTGTTTTCAGCTGCAGACTTTCGTATCTGTGTTTTGAATAACTTTTGGTTGAAAAGGATAAAGAAACGGAAATTGAAAGTTTTATGGCTTTGGTTGTCCTTTTCGCTTTCCGCTAAACTTCGAAACAGAAGAAAGTGATTTTTGTACTCTAAAGCACATTCGCATTCCAAGCAACTGAATTACAGTGTATTCTAGAAATTTTGAGCCGCTTACCTTGTTCCTTGATGATTTATGATCATCTCAACTTTTCATGAAAATAAGCGGTAGGCCGAAATCTTTTTAGAAAAATTTAATTTTTAATTATTCTGAGGATATCAAGTGCTGATACATGGGTAAAAATATCAAAGTTTCAGAGATTAAGCAATAACTGTGTTATTCGACTCGGTTTCTGATGTCGATGTCGAATATAGAGATTGGGCAGAGATTAGATTTAGAGGTAGTAGTAAGTGCTAAGTAGTTCGCAAAGTAGCTCACACCAGTTTTTGCCTTTAACTTTTTTCATCAGAGTTTTGTGCAGAACGTCCACATCACAAGTGTGAATATCTGACCTCCCACCTCCGCCTCTTTTTTTGCTATAAATCCTCTTTTTGGTCTCTTTTGAGAAAAATCCTCTTTTTTCACGAATACAGTACCTGTTGACGAACAAATTCGTTATTGTTGATTCATCCGGTGGTTCATGTCATCAAGTACTTTTACTCTTGACTTCTGTCAGTCGTTAAGCTCAGGTTCTTCAATCAAGGGAGACTAGAAACTCTCTCAGTACACTAGATTAAACAAAGTGCCAATCCAATTTATATAGTATATTTAAAAATAATCGTAAAAATACATATGCCGGAATAACATGAAGCAAGGAGAACACTAACTGGTCCGACTACTTACTAACTCTGTATTCTATATGCACTCGAACTGACTATCTCTGAATATATGCTTTCATATACATATCCAAAAGAACAAAGACATGTAATATAAAAGAGAAAAAGACGGAGATAGCTAAAGATGACGCAATCTTTAATATAGAATAATAGTGATCACAACTAGACGAAAAAAACAATAGATGAACGAAATTTCTGTTGTTTTCTCATTTTGCAGTGCGCATATTATGAACGATGCAAAATATATGTGAACAATACTGAATTTCACTTTTCGCTGTTTCGAGTCGCCATTGAACGCAGATCATAGATATGCCACCGTTACATGCTTCTACACTTGCGAGGATATTTATTTGTTAGCATTTTTCTCCGAAAAAAACTGAACTTCTCTTTTCCTCTTTTTTTTAAACTACGAATCTTCTTTTTTCCTCTCTTTTTACAAACTGTCGGTGAGATACCAGATAAATATTGACTCGGATCGAGCAAACCTTTTTGCACATTTCTGATTAACTTCAAAATTAATAAAACGATTTTTGTTTCCTCTCTATTTAGGATTTCACGAGTACAACCGGATTCGTTATGATGAACGTCAACCATTATTTTCCGCTATACGAGTTGCTTTACGTATTGATAGAGAAACAATGAATAATATGCATGGAAGAAAGAAGAACATTGAACTTGCATTTCAAAAATTTATTAGTTTTTTTCAACAAAATAATATCACCATCTACTTCGGCTCAGTCATGTTTGATAAAGACGATGTAATTTATAAAAATTCATTTATTCAACCACAGTTTCCAACGTTTATTCAAAATTATTCCTGGTCCATATTAACGAGTATGGGATGTCGTGTTCAAGAAAAGCTAAACACAAATGAAAATTTTAAAGAAATCTTCTTGTCTGGAATGTCATTAATCGATAAAGAGGAACAAGATGATATCATGTATTATATGTGCTCACGATTATACTATCGAGCCTTAAAACATTATTTTATTGATTTCTACGAGGAATTTATTGATATATGGAAGCAGTATTACTCCTTTTATAAGACAAGCTTGATGAGTCAATTCCCAATTACCTTGAAAAACGAAGTATTTATTCCATGCGTCACTTTAACATCCAGTACGGATCCGATTGTAAAACCTTTTAAACTTTCAAAGTCGAATCGAGTATTACGCGAACCACAATTTGGAAATTTGGACAATTTTATCTTTGTCGAGTTCCGCGACGATAATGGTAATCAACTTCAATCACGAGATTTTGTCGCTCTTTGTCAACATTTCAAACAGTATTTGACAACTGGATTTATCATCGGCGGCAGATCGTATTGTTACCTGCACCACGCACAATCACAAGTTCGATTCAAACAATTCTATTACTATTGTGAAATGCCTAGTTGCTTCACATTTGAGGAAGCGTATCGTTGGATGGGAAACTTTGCCAATGAAAGAGTTGTAGCAAAATATGCAGCCAGAATGGCACAATGTTTTTCGAGTACACAGCCAACAATCCAAGTGAGTATTATAAAAATAATTAAAACATAATAAACACTTGATGCTTTTATACACGAAAAAAAAGAAATTCCATCACTTTTTCGTCTATGTGTTTTTTTCATAGTCTTCGTTCATGCTGTTTTGTAAACAGATTTTTAGTAGATGCTTTTCTTTACGTAAAAGAATGTGCACACGTTTAACCGTTCAAACTTATTTAATTCGACTAATTAATTACCAAAACTTATTTAACTCTATCACATGAAACCATACAGTCACCATGAATGCGCCGTGGACAATGATATTGAGCTTCAGTATCAGATCTCAAGAAGACTACATTCTTCTAAAGTTTTAATAACTATTTCTGAAAGGAAGCGAAAAACTTCTCAATTTGTATTGAAGCTAATGCTATTCATGTATAAATGATGCTGACAAAAGTAAAAGAGGTAAATGACTACTATGCTCATCGATTTTTCTCTCGTATTTGTTTGTATACATATCAATTTCTACGTTGATTCTTACGGTTACTTTGTTCACGGGTTTATGCCAACATTTTCACTTCTACAGGTATTCTTCACGATTATGACAAGGACGTATTCTATCTTAAGTTTTTTTCTTTGCAACTCAAAATTCACGCTTTTTTCATAGATTCTACAGTCCATGCTTTTTTTTCTACGACTTTATTTTTTTCCGTGTAGATCAAAGCCGATTTAGTAAAATATGTGGATGATATAATCAGTAGTGATAATAAATACACGTTTACAGACGGAGTTGGAATGATATCAAAGCAACTCAGTAACAAGGTAATTACAGTATCTCCGTTATTTATATAAAAGAAAAATTATTAGGAGC